AGCTCGGAGGAAGTGTACACTAGCTTCTACGCTCGCTCGCCCACCCCTCCTCCTCCATCACCTCCTCCTACTTCTTCAACTCCTACTCTCTTTTGCACTGCTCGTTTCTGACTGTGTATGTGTGAGTGTGTGTATATATTATTTTGACGGCAGCAAGCTCGGTTCTCCTGAAGTGTTAGCCTGCTTTTGCGCGCGAGGCTAGGATTGCGGACTTAATAAGACATCGCGCGATTTGGCTTAGAAGTATTTTTCTCTCGTATACGTACATACACACGCCGCTGCACCAGTAGTAGCAGCGGCAGTAGCAGTAGCAGCAGAAGCAGTCCGTCAATTAAAATCCGCTCTCGCGCACGTAGACGCGCGCCACTATACAAGCTCGCGCAGAGTTAATTACGAAAATTCGCTCGCCGGCTCTCTGACGTTGGTAAATTTATTATATACATGTATACTCGAAGAGCAGTAGCAGCAGCAGCACCTGCTCGTTAGTACGAGAGATCTACGCCGACCAAGAGGAGCACACGCGTATATATTATGTATGTAATATCGCATCCGTAACGCGCTCGTATAATATTTGTTTCGATAAATATCCTTATTGCTCGCTCGATAGCTTTGTATACGATACAGATCGGTGCAAAGACGCGCAGACTTTAACGCAATCCGGGTGCAGTCTTGTGTTTATATAATAAATATATCTATATACGGTTTACACGCGCGATCATATAGTTATACATGTATGCCAGCGAGGACACGAATATATTCACGAAACGTATATATAATACAACCGCACGGCGACATCACTTGCGCCGGTAGTTACAAGCTCCGGTCTCAATTAGCTGAACTTACGTCGCCGGGGTCCAATTAGACGCGCCAGGAGTGCAGTGCGCGCGCGGCCCATGTTTGCGCTTGCGAGCAGTATAGAGTCTCCACCGCCGCATCGTCGTCGTCGTTCGTGAGCCAGACAAAGACGGCCCAGTGTCTCTCTCTCTCTCTCTCTTGCTCTATGTGTGTACGTGTATGTGTATACGTATAAGCGAGCGACCAAAGTGTCTTTTTCCTCCGCTAATGACTAATTAGCAAGCTCTCGAAAATCCCGCAGTCGAGGTCCATAATGACGAGCGCCTAGCGAGCGAGCGAGCGCGGTGCAACCGCATATTCTGCACTGTCACTGCTTTTTACCCGCGTGCACTAAAAAGCTCTTACATGCTTGCAGCTGCATACACATACTTTACGCGCCTACATACCTTGGCAGCGGATTCGCCTCGGAGCCGTTGTTTTTACGTATAATAGGAACGGTATTGACTGAAAAGCCGAATGAGAGCTCAACCCCTTCTCTTTGTGTGCATGCGCGTGTGTGTGTGTGCGTCTGCGTATGCAACCAACAAAGATTGATGAATCGCCCGAACGTGCGCTATGAATGTAATTGCTTGCACGTGACGTTTAATTCGAGTGAGCTTATTTGCTGTAAGCAGCAGGCAGCTTTCGAGTGAGCGAGCTGTTGCGTGCGGTCGGAGATTCGAATGTGCGTATTATAATTATAATAACAAAAGACGAGTAAAGAGAGATAAAAAAAGACGTCAACGGTGTGGGGTGGATGCGGTGGTCCACGCGCAGTATACACGCGGAGCAGCAACTCGGTACATTTGAGTCGGGAAAAAGTGTCCAACTCCGCGCACCCGGCCGGAAGGACGAGAGAAACACGCAACGGCACTTTTCCACCGAGAAAGAGAGCGCCTTTTGCTCTTCTTCCTCTTAACGTCGAAGCTATACGTATATAGATATATACAAATATATACGTTTATATAAAAGCTCTGGAAGCATCCGTCACAGCCCTTACAGAAGTTGCGTCTCGTGTATATACCTATATAGCGCGCGCCACGCTTATTTATTCTCAGCCCCCGAAACGTCCGTCCCCGTTGGCTACTTTATACATCTGACGTTTTTATTAAACTACATCCAGTTTTTTTTTCCTCGACCCGTCTCGCGTATATATATAGACAATTTTCTTTTCTCTTCCGTTTGTTGCCTGAGCTAAATAATACCTATATTTACGCTCTTTCCACCTATATACATTTATAATGTGCTTTCTATTAAGCCGAGACGACGGCTGAACGATAACTTTTTATCCGGAAATTTTTTTATATATCGTTTATGAATTTTATCACGTGGTTTATTTTAATTATAAAATGCGGGAGACGTATAGTTGATGATTGCCGGACGAAAATAAAACTCTGCATTCATCGAAAACGAGCGAAAAACGTCGATTGGACGTGTATCATTGAATTCTTTATTAATATACAATCTAGAGATTGTGGGCGTGAACTGCGTCACTATATCATCAAAAACCACAAAGAGATAGCAGATAGAGCTGGAACCATGAATAGGCGAAGCGCACGTATGTACGATACAACGACGCTACGTAGTATTAATTCTACAGACAGGCCAGTATAAGCCAGTGCTAATACGCAATTAGCCAAATATACTGTCGGTGATCATATTAGAGCGCACGTACCGCAAATTGTAGAGCTTCCTCTATGTATGTGCGTGCGTATATATCGGCCCACGATTCAATCTTCCTATTTCGCAATTCGCCGCGTGAGCCATGAACGACGACGTCTCTCTCTCTCTGTATATAGTACGGCAGCATCAGTAGTAGTAACGTTTGGTGTATGGCGTGTGTCAGTCGGTCTTTTGATAAGCTGCACACACAGACACAAGCGCGCACGATGCATCGTGTGTGTGTATAGTTAACGTACGGAACGAAACGCATATTATAGCAATGACAGGCCAAGCTTGCGTATCTACTTCCGTGCCGTCCCGCGCGCGGACATTCGTGCATATACGGCCGAGGCTTCCGTTTCACAGCGCGGTGACGATTCGTGAGAAAAATTAGGCCCTGCTTGTCGATTGTGTGCATGCATTATCGTTTGGCTCTGTGTTCTTTTCTCTGCCGAAAGATTAAAAACCAATTGAGCGTGGGAGCTTGCGGACGGAAACAATGCAATAGTGGCTCGATAGTTGAGAATCGCATCGATGTAAATAAAACTTGGTCATTTCGAAGAGTAGCGCGCTGGTTACAACGCGTTCCCATTGAAAACAGTGTTAAAAAAAACCTGATTAATTTGAATGATTACTTGTCAATTTTAAAGAAAAGAATTTTAGTACATTTTATTTGAAATAATTCAGATTTTCGAACTTTTCGTTCGTGGATTCAAAGAAACGTGTACGTTATATGCGTATTTATTTACTAACGTTACCTAACGAACACGACATGTGATTCATTAAAATCGTAAACAAAGTTTATAATTTCTGATCATTATTTCATTTCTATAACTGTCACGGCTCAGTTTTGCTATTGAGTCTATAAAGGGTAGACATTATTAGACAATTAGTTTTTAATCAGTTAGTATTAGAATGAAATTTCGTCGTACGTTGAAACAGAAAATGGCCATATTGGAATACGTAAGAATATCCAAAAAAAGCCAAAAAGATGTCGCAGAAAAATTTAATATTCCTAAAGGAAGTGTATCTTCTCTTATCTTTAACGAAGAAAAAATTAGAGCGGATTTTGCTAAATTACAAAACAACTCTAAAAAAGGTCAAATCGAAATTCAAAAACAAAAGTATCCAAAAATTTCTAAATATTTTTTTCACTATTTAATTATCATTTTTATTTCGATATGTGGTTAATTCGAAGGGATTACCCACCGGGTCGTCGGAATTTCGAATCAAGCCGATTTCACTGTATTTTCTTAAATATTTCAAGTAAATAAGTAAAAATTCTTCTTTTTGACAATTCAAGAACGCGCAAATCGCGCGAAAGCTCCGTAGTTGTGAAAAAAGCTCTCTCTCCTGTTTTCTCGCCGTAACTTATGCATGTGGCACGTGCGTGCATTAAATTCGCGCGCGTTTCGTGAAAAGTCGATACTCTCGTACTTGTGTCGCGCGATGGTGTATACCACGGTGCGGTATTTTATTTACGTATACGCACGCGTTCATATAAAGCTCTGGGCACACACAAACTACTATTGGGGAAAAGTGAGAGACAAAGCTTAAAAAGCCCAAGAAACAAGGTGTATGTGTATGTGCGTGTATACGCGCTCGGCGCGCATCAACCCATTGTTAGAAGTACATAGAAGCAGCGGCATGGCACTATTATACACGCGCATACACACACAGACGTATACACATATCTATAGAATGAGGCTTGCAACGTACAAGCAGCAACGCGGCGTTTATAATTCGCACCCGAGCTCGCACAAGCGGTATACACCAGCAGCAGCAGCGGCGGCAGCGGCAGTATAGCGGCGGGCCAATTAGCAGTATAAAGCTCAACGTCGTCGAGGAGAGTATAAAGGAGAGCAAAGTGGGTAGGAGTGAGAGAGAGGAACTGTTTTCTCTTTCTGTCTGTGTGTACGTGTATGTGCAATAGATTGTTGCTAGAAGTATTTGGCTAATTAATTAAGCCACTGCTGCTGTATTTCGTCTTTCACCCCGTCGTATTCATCTTGTTTCTCTCTGTCTCTCGTTCTTTACCACGTACACACATAAACACACACACACACACACACACACACACACACACACACTCGCACAAAAGTACACGTATATATACGTAGACAAAGTTGCAAGAACGCAAGCAAGTAATAACAAGTATGAATCGCAAATAATTAATGCTTAACGAAGCAACGGCTCTCTAGGTCTCTCTTCAGCTCTGCCTTCTGTCTATCTGTATGTCATATACCCGCGCATACATCTTTTTCCCGTCTTTCACTTAATTGGCTTATATATATTCGAACGCACCAAGTTTTCGTTTATTGCCTGCAAGGGTAAAAACGCAGTCAGTCGCTTATCGTCTCTTCTCTTTTTTTGTGTCTCAACGAAATTCATTTATAGAAATGTCATGATGTAGTCGGCCGCAACGAGGCCAACGAAAAAAAAAAATGAAAAAAAAAACTAAGAGTTAATTTTCATCGTCTTTCTCTCTCTCGGCCTGTTCACAGACGGTGCTTCAAGCCAGATCACGATGACGATGGACGTGAGCAAGTCGGAGACTGGTAAAAATGGCACGACTCAGCAGGAGTGTCACGGCTGCCGAAAAACGATCAAGGAGAGATATCTGCTGAAAGCTCTGGACGCCTATTGGCACGAGGACTGTCTGAAGTGCAACTGCTGCGACTGCCGGCTGGGCGAGGTCGGCTCGTCCCTCTACACCAAGGCCAATCTCATACTGTGCAGGAGGGACTATCTGAGGCTGTTCGGCAACACGGGCCTCTGCTCGGCCTGCAACAAACCCATACCGGCCTTCGAGATGGTCATGCGCGCCAAGAACAACGTCTATCATCTCGAGTGCTTCGCCTGTCAGCAGTGCTATCACCGGTTAGTATATCACTACTATACCATATATTTTTATCGTCGTTTTTTCTCATTTTTCTTCCCCGCGTCTATATTTATACATATTACTTGGAGCTCGAGCTGAAAGGACGAACCGAAAAATAAAAAAAAAGTCAGTTTAATAAGACAGCCCTTCTTATAAAGCAATCTCTCTTTCGGTCGCGCGTTATAACGGGGAAAAAAAAAGGCGTAGCGTAGTAGTAGCGGCAGCTCGGACATTAAAGCTGCAAGTCCCACATTGAATCTAATCCAATTTCGCGCGCTGAACGCAAGAGACCTTATATTCTTCGTCTGCGTTGTCGTCGTCGTCGGCGTCGTATATATAGACACGAATTCTAATCTTATAGCCTTCGTCGTCGTCGTCGTCGTAGTCGTAGTAGTAGTAGTTGTTGGGCAATTCATCGCGCAAGCAGGTAAGGATAGGTGTGAGTTTATATATATACGAAGCGCACACACATACAGAGAGAGAGAGATAGAGTGAGAGAGTTGGCAGCAGGGTATGTCAGCAGTATCGCGATAATTATATAACAAGGCGAGCGGAAAAGAGAGAGAGAGAGATAGACGAGAGCACGGCGACGGGGTGATTTCCCAACTGGCCTGTAAAGCGAATGCCAAGCGAGCGAGCGCGACTCACTCGACGTTCTACATCTCATCCCTTCTTGCTCTCTCTCTCTCTCACACACTGTGTATATATGCTGTGCACATGGTCTGTCGAGCGTAATGTGTGTATGTGTATGTACGTGTGTGTAGGTAAGGGTGGCGCGCGTCACAAGCTCGAGTCGATGAAATAATAAAATTACCGGAAAATCATGCTTAGAATGCTCTAACGTGCTCGTCGCGTGCAGCTTATATCGCACAGGCTAAGCGAAATATGTATACACAGCGCAGCTCGTGCCCACGCGTGTCTTGGGAGATCTGTGTACACACGGAGAATAGGTGTATATAGCGATGACCATTAGGCGGCACTCGAGAGCGTCTCCCGAGTAGTCGATAGAATCAATAAATTAATGCACGAATATAATGCGAAGCAACGTGACAATTCAAGGGGATCGGACACCTGATTTTGCCATGAGCATCGTTTTTGCAATTGAAGCACATTTCATGTTTTTTCTACGAGCGAACGAGCTTCGAGCGACAAAAATGCGGTCGTTAAGCTTCCTCCGTTCGCGTCGACGGACGACAAGACAGACAGCTCGATCGCGATAAGAGAGCGGCGCTGCGACAACGCAGTCGTTGCATTGCGCGATAATTATGCAAAAATATAACCAATTCGTTGACTCACGATGCCCGATTGAAGGTTCAACGACCAAAGATAAAAAAAATGAGAGATCCTTCCACTCATTATCGTAAACGTTAACGTTGACCGATAGTTGAAAAAATAAAACGAAATGAAAAGAATAAAATCACGCGAGCGTATATGAGATTGACAAACAGCTATTGCTCGATTGCAGGCAACAGCAGTACCATACACCCGTGCTGCGCAAAAGAGATGAGACAAAAAGGCCGCGAACAACGCGACATATACAATGCTCGACAAAAGCAATATTATCAGAAGCGTGGAGCTTTAATGCACGACCATTGCACGCGCGCGAAGCTCGCGTTGTCCTCGCAGCACAACAGCTCGTGTCTGCCTGTGTGTGTGTGCGTGCATGCTGCACCCGAAAAACATCGTCTCCACGCATCCCGATGTATAGCAGCAACTAGCGAGCATTAATGGTTCGATTTCAGCATGCAGCAGTGAGAGACAGGGACAACAAAAGAGCATCAATTTTACGTTTTTATCGAGTAGCTGGGCTATTGTTTGAGTCGAGTTCCCCTCTTCTCTCGACTTTTTCGCTGCCAGCCTGCGGTGCGAGTCATGCGTGCCTTTTCTTTACGGCTCTATCATGATTCTCTCTCTCTCTCTCTCTCTCTCTCTCCTGCTCAGTGTGTATGTGCACGTGGGCATGTAACAGGGTATGTTGTCGCTGCTGTGTTGTGATTCGAGAGGTCGCATCCGCAAGCTGAGAGGGAGAGAGAGAGAGAGAGCGAACAGAGATATTGTTTTATTTTGCGGATGATGGTTGTTACCAGATTGTGTCTCGATATCGATTGACCGATGAATTTCCGAGAAAAAAACAATTCGTGGGTTAAATATTTTTTTGCGAATTGAAATTTATTATTTTTATATTGGAGTCGTCGAAAAACTTCTCACTCCTACATATTTGTATATAAAACACGCATTTCCAATCGTAAAATCCTCACTCGCAGCTCTTTCATTTCAATATTTGATTTTTTGTCGCATCGCTTTTCTACTACTACGACCACTACTACTAGTACTAGTACTAGTACTACTACTACTACTACTACGCAGAGCAAGAAAAAAGACAAAGAAAGAAAAGGAAGAAGAAGTAAGAGTGCGAAATAGCCCCTAATGGAGTCGCACTGGACGTATATACACGAGAGCGAGCTTGACTTATTTACACTAGCTACTCTGGTGTGTATAACACAGTAGCGCAAGTGCTGCTGCTGCTGTTGCTGCTGCACACGTACACACTCGCATACAATCTATAGACTTCTATCTCTAGCGTAGTAGTTGTCGCGCGCGAGCCTCGTTAAAGATTTAGCCGCGTTATCCGGGCGCGAGCCAAGCCAGATTGAAATTTCCCATGCAGACGAGGAGGAGTAGTGCAGAGCTGGGGAAGGGTGCAAGAGCGTGTGATTTTACTCCCGCTACTGCTGTTGCTGCTGCTACACTCTGCAGATTTTCAATATTTCAACAAACCGGTCGACGACGCCCGGCAAATGTGGCTTTGACTTATGCTGTCTCTTTTACTATCTCGGATAAGGTGAATAAATTTCCTTGGTAAAGTAAAGATCGAACGTGTGGTGGTCGAGGCGTTGCCGTTGCACGTAGACACATATAAAACATAAATGCGGGTCCCGAAGTAAATTCAACAGCTCATGCGGGGTGCACTGCTGCTGCTACTGCACGAAAAAAGGTGTATATCCCAAAATATTTGGGTATTTTTCGCTCGACGATTCCGAATGGCTGAATTAGTTCAGTGCGGGACATCCTGCGCGGTATACTGCAAGAAACAAATGTGCGACAGCGTGGCCGCTGTGCGCCGCTGCTATATACACCTATGAACGCGTATACAGTCGAGCGCAATCCTGCCTGCACACAACATATAGCTCGACGGAGAGCTCGTGTCGAGGCGCCCGCAGCATATTATGGAGTCTCGAGCGAGCCGAGTAGCGTAGCAGCAGTGGGAAGAGAAAATGAACAAAAGTGCGCGCGGGGGCAGCAAGCAGCTTGCAATGTTCGCGCGGACTGTCAGTTTCTCTCTCTCTCTATTTTTTGTTGTTTCTTTTCGAATCACCTCGACTTGTGCAGTATCTGTTTCTCGCGCACGCTCACGCTGTGTATATGTGCCAAGAGTATACAAGGAAGAAAGTACGTGTGTATGTATATATGCGAGCCAAGGCGGCAAGAGTTGCGCTTCGCTCTCGCGCTTCGCACAGGGTGGTGGGTAGCTCGTTTAGTCTTTAATTGGATGCCCGTTAAATTAGACCGGACGTCTTTTTAACTGTGAGCTGCTTGCCGCGCTTCTTTCTCTCTCTTTGTGTATAGTGTTCGGTGTGTGTGTGTGTGTGTGTGTGTGTGTGAGTGAGCCAGAGAGAAAGAGTACGAGAGAGGGCTAATTGGATCGGTAAATCATCCCGCAAGCACACTGCCCAAGGTGGGGCTGTATGTGTGTGTGTATGTGTTACTGGGAGTGGTAGAGGGCAAGGGGGCGGTTGGACGAGCGCGTGGCGGCGGCGTCGGGGCGGCAGCAGCAGCAACCCTTTATTTCGCGTTATTACAGTCTAAAGTTACCCCCGTGTAATTGTTGCTGTTTAATTGCAAGTTCCAAGTCAGTCGGTTGCCCGCGCGCGCGCGCGCGAGGTCCACCCATCCGACTGCACCCCGCAGCAACAGCAGCAGCAGCAGCGGGAGCCACTACTACTGCTGCTGTGTATATGTATCCGCACGCTTCACAAGAGGGCTAATCTCCGAGAGCTAGCGGGCAATTTCGCTTCCTCGCAAACTTGTGCCCGCGCGCGCTTGTGTGTGTATGTGTCACACTAACACCCCCGCTGCCGCTGTCTAGCTACCATATAAGCTCGTGTCATGTTGATGGCTGTACTGTTATATACAGTTAGTCAGGCGAGCGAAGGGATATTGTAACCTCAGCAGTTTGTTAATGCCATCTCACCCGCGCGCGCACACACACGTTTTATAATCGAACTTATATGGGATACAGGGCTAAAAACGTCGAATCCTCGTAGTAGCCGCACACGAACGTATATTCGTATATTGCACATTACGAGCCGTGCTCGCACATGAATCGAAATCGCATCTCATTGACGGTATAATCAGAAATTAGTAATGCGCAGCAATAGTGGTACTCGACAGAGTGAGGCAAACGATACGAACAATCAGCGCACGCACACTCCTCGCATCCGTCTATACGCGCAGATAGGGTAGTTTTGCATTCGAATCCTTTTGGCGCTCTCTCTATGTGGGTCTCTCTCTCTTGCTCCGAACAATGGGTTGGCTTTCGATTGTATGCGTGTATGTGTGCGTGTGCACTCGTGAGCGAGCTCGGTATGCAATAATTCTATTTACCGCGCGATTATGAATATCAGCATACTGCACGATGACTGCTTCAACCCCCGCCCCCAACCCCCCTTCATACGTACGTATTATGTTCTCGCTTGCTGCTATACAGCATTATTCGATAATTATTTGACCGACGCTCTTTGGAGCGCTGAGTGTGCAGCACGAGCTCGTCGACCTGCGCGCATCGTTATACATATATGATACGAGAGACTATCACTGCGCCGGGATGATTAATCATTGAAATATCCACTGTGTCGATATGTATTATTGTAAACTTATAACTGCAGCTGCAAGCTCTCGATTTCACAAACAAACCCGACTCTCGTTTCGTGTTTCAGATTTTGCGTGGGCGACCGCTTCTACCTGTGCGAGAATAAAATACTCTGCGAGTACGATTACGAGGAGCGGCTGGTGTTCGCGAACATGGCGCTGCATCCGCCGTCGAATTTGGCTCAACTCAAGCGCCAGTTGCCACTGACGCCAACGCCACCTGGACAGGGTGCGCCGATGCCGGGCCAAAATCCCATGCAACAGCAGCAGCAACAGCAACAACAACAACAACAACAACAACAACAGCAACAACAACAACAACATCAGAATCAACAAGCTCAAATGCTTGGTCAACAAATGGGACAGCACAATCACATGACAAACGTAAGTCGACGGAATCATGGAACAAAATCGATGATTTTCACCCAAAATTGTATTTCTTACCTTGTCCATTGTTCTTTGCAGGGTCAAATGCCAAATAGTTCGCCAACGGTGAACGGCACCGGCGGTGGACCCATGGGCATGGGTCCAACCAGGCCGGGCGACATGAACAACAACGGTCTGTCGGGCTCGGCTCTGGGATCAGTCAAAGCGCCTCCTATGCCAATGCAGGCGCCCTCGAGCTGAGACGAACTTTCCAACGGCGCGCCTCCGTTGAAGAAGCTGCGCTGTCTCGACAGTTACTGAAGTTCGGCCGAGTCCCAGCTGTGGACAAATTGTAAATATCAATTAGGCACCGTCGTCGATCCAAGACGAGAGGGAATCTAATTTCGTGAACGATGGCTGGATCGCGTTTCCGCCATTGTTGTTTTGCATTTTCGTTGTTATCCACGCTAAACAAAGACGTGGCTTTGATATTATTATTATTATTAATATTATTATTATTATTGATCATTATTGGTATAAGTATGAAATGATTATTGAAATTATTTCGAACGTTTTTACGCATACGTCTATATTGAATTATCCAACGTTATTAAATTATTTTTTCTTTGTTTCGACTGCTATAGTGTAATATAATAATCGTGATATATAAGCGCGTGTGCATTAGTAGTGCCATGCTTCATCAATTAAAAACCGCAAACCGGAAGCTGTAAAGTGTTGTAATCGACGTACGCCACGTCGACTTTACCGACGGTCGATAATGATGTAGCTACGGTAGTAAGTCGATTCTTTGCTTCATACTTGTGGAGAATATAAGTGGCGAACGCGGTCGCGTTGGGTCGAACAATTAATAATAAAAAAAAGTATAAGCATATACGAAACAACTGTGAGTGATAGATTAATGTGATTATCGATAGTCGGTAATTTACACGAGATCAAAGGTTTTTTTGTTTCTAACTTACGTCTAAAATAGAGTATAAAGGGGAAGAGATTTTGGTTTCCACACAGTGATACCAAAGAGTAACGTATAAGTTTTTTTTCTGCCCTTTGACGACGACGAGCGGACGATCCTCGTACAAGCTCACAAAATCCAAGCAAGTGTGTTCGATTTATTTTTCACTCATGCATTGCGCGCATGCGCCACAGGGCATCAGTCATATAAAGAAAAAAACGTCACAATAAAACCAAAAGAGAACTTGTACCAAAAGGCCGTTAAAAGTTATCGATTGCGTTGTGCAATTCATAAAATACGTGAATTTGTGGAATAATTATGTACTCGCATTATGTATATGTCAAAAGCACGAAAAAAAAATCACACGAACGAGTTCAGCATAAGTACATTTTTATCCATCTTTTGAACAAATTGTATAAATATATATTGTTGAGCGAATGTGAACGTGAAAAAAAAATGATTCGGGAAAAGAAAGAAGGTAACAAAAAATTGTATATTTCGTCAAATCTGTATAATTTTAGTACAAAGCGCGTTAAAGTATATGCATGTAAAAAGACGACGATTGTCGCGAGAATTTGTAGCGGCAGTGTCATAAGGTTATTGTAATCTTTAACCAATCCTTTTTTTGTTAATCATCTGTATATATTGTCATATTTAGTGCACTATTGTTAAGTATACAAGTGAACTGTAGGGTTCTATCGCTATACAAGAAATAAAAGAAAAAAAATTCTTATTAATATAAAGTGACTGTCCAGTTATTTGTGATAACCTCGTCTCGACCAATAACTCCCAGTGCCAATGCGGCAGTTCCATTAACCTTATAATGTTACGGTCAGGACAAAAAAAAAACTCGAATGAAAAACTTTTCGAAGAGGAAACCATCATCGATGAGACATCCCCGGAGCAAGAGTCGGCTGATTCTTATTATAAAGTCGCCTCGGCCAGAGAATATAATAACAGATGGAAAGCGGACGCGTCTGGTCTTTTATGGTCGGAACATTAGGGAAATGGCGCTTGGCCTTTTCGCTTTCGCCTCGCCCCCCACTATCCGCGAAAGCTCCGACCAAATCGGCCAAGTTCTTCCACGAGTGCGAGCGTATATAAAAGGACACGAAAGAGACGATACACACTCGAAAGCGCGGTAGAGCTGTTATTGAAGCAACGGGTCTATCTATAGGATACGTTATATAGCCCAGCTCGTGACTCCCGCACTATAACTGCGAAGATTGCTTTTGTCTCTACATACGCGCGGGACGGCAGCACATCGATTCCTCTTATACGAAGCCGCGGAAAAGTGGAGTTTTACGCGCACGAGTAGGTCTAATTTTAACAATTTACAATGCCGCGTAACAGCTCCTCGATGATGGGCATAAATTGAATTCGACGCGTTTTATATACATTCCGGCCGAGGATAATGAAAGACTCAGCTACTCGTTGGAAATTCGGGAGCTCTCACGTATTATTATTAACTTTGTGGGTACGCTTTTATGCAAAGGGCCAAAAAATTTTACTCCAAGTCCAATTTTCTTTGCTAAGACGTGTACGCGAAGCCAGGCAAGAATTTATTGAGTCTGTTATTGGGTTTCCTTCGATTACGACTTTGGCCCTCCACTCACTGGGGTACAGAGAGTGAGATGGAAGAAAAAAAAAAGCACGGCATATGAAATTTCACTTAAGTATTCTTTGAGCAAGTCTGCGCATACACCAATGTGTATAATGCACGGTATACTACGATCACATACTGCAACAGCAGCGTGTTTTTGTATTATATATATCTCTCGCGCGCGCGAGAAAAGTAGATTGAAATTTCAGATTATACACTTTATTAAACATATATAAAATCTTATACCGGCTGAGCTTTAAGCCGATGATTTATAAGGAAAACTTTGACTCGAGGCAGCTATACCAGCACGTGACGTATAGAGAACACAAGAAAATTATAATGAAGCACGCGCGTGCTGCAGTGCCGCTGCCGCTCGATCCGCGCGAGATATGCTTTCCTGCAGCCGCGCGGTGGTAGTGGTAGTAGTAGTAACGCCAGGCGATGATCAATCGAAGTAATATCTTGGGTATACACAAATCAACCCCTCGTGATATCGTGCCTGATATACACTATGTATTATTATAGATTTATAATATGATGCGCGCAGGCGTAAATTAACATAATAATCGCATCGATCTTTTCCTAATACTTATACGCTCTCGAGCCGTACGCGTGCGTGCGCGTGTGTGTGTGTATTTACCGTGTATATGTTGAAGCAGAAACGCATAAAAGCCGTGGTAAACAAACAAAGCAGAAAAAAAGAAGATGAGAGAAGGCCCCAACGATAAGAAAAGAGTTCGCTCATCGAAATTGGATATTTCGCGTGGCCTCGCAGCAGTACACGTCTGCCGCGAGTAAATGTGTATATAAACACGGATGTATAGCTGAGCCACGGAGAATTTCAAACATTAATCACGCTCTACAGACACATATATGTATATAAACGTACTCGAAATAATCTAACCACGAAATGAAATCAACGTGGTAATTTCACCCCGCCCGCTTGAGCGCGCGAGGCGTGGGTGGTGGTAGTACTCGTGTATGTATGTATGTGTGCGTATAACGCATAAAGAGACCAGAGCAGCGCCGAGCTACGTATACATGTATAGAAGTACGAATGATGAAGCCGCAGGGTGAGAATTAAAGATTTCGCGATAAAAGCTCGGCAGCAACGTAACCGACGAGCGAGATCGCCGCAGAGAGTATACTCTGCGGCGCACAATGTGCTCGGCTCAAGCTACCCAGGGCAGTTGCAGTGTTTTCTTGAAAATTCGAGCAACGAGAGAAAAAAGAAATGACGATTTTTGGTTGTTGATTCTGATTGACAGTTCTTAAATTAGCTTTATTTCTTTTGAAGAACATCGCAATCGGGGATATAGGGTGGATGAGAAGGTACTGTACGTATGCGCGTTTACGCTGAGAAGGGTGCAAAATTAAGTGGCCTCGATCTCTCTGTGTGCTATGTATGTATGTATTAGGTATATACGCGATGGAGAAGCGTGCGTGTGTACGTGTGATGTGAAATTTATCTGAAATGAGATCGCGGCAAAGTTCGAGGGGTGGGGGGCAATTTTCTTGGGCTACGAAATGATTAATTTAGCCAGCGCCGTATATACTTTAGTGGTGAACTTTTTTTTTGCTTCCTTTGTGCTACTATATACTCCTCTCCCGCGCGCAACCGCTAATATAATACGGGATAGATTATTTTTAACCGACGGTCGGGTGTTATTTCACGCGTACGAGAAAAACAATCAATTTGATATGGCTAAAACATTTTTTGTTTTTGTTTCGTGAAGCAAGAATTTTTATAAAATGAAACAGACGTCGCTGCGTAAAGTGGCAAAAAGTCTCCAGTGGGCGAGTACAGTAAGAAATATTCAGCTTTTGTACGGGTGTCTCGGCATCTTACACAATGAGAGGGGGCCCCATAAAGTCCGAATACACAACAACACACGCTGCTGCTACACACACAAACCACGATAAGTAGAAAGAGTCGCACAGTGGTCGGCCGGCAGGCAGGCACGCGGACATCCGAACCGGGAAAAGAGATGCTCGTGCGGGCCTTTTTGTCGCGCTATGCGGCACTGCTACGTTTTATGGGGCGCACATCCTTTTGCGGCTGTGCAGCGTATAGGTAGGTATATATAGGATTTTTTTATGCTTTATCGCACGCGCACCCGCTGGCTGCGTATACTGCGATGTGCCCGCGCCGTCGTTGAATGAAAGGACGAAGATAATAGCTCGAGTCGTTACTCGTCGCGCCGTCATCGTCGTCGTGTCAGCACATAGCATTGCGGCCCAGCCACGCGGAAAGGACTTTATGATTGAAGATCTCTCTCGAAGCTTATAGCCGAGAAATCGACGCGTGTAATGTGCATATACATCGGAACGAAGTCGCATCGGTGTATCGGCGCGCGCGCAAAACTTATACATAGATGGAGCGAAGGACTCGATATAAAGCCGGAGAGTTAACGCTTCAACGACTCGAGGCTCTTGTTACATTCACAGTTATATATTTAAAAGTTTAAACGCGTTTGCCGTGCATGGAAAGCTCGTCTTGTCGTTTCGCCTATTGCACGTAATATGTATGTAAGACGACGTTACGAACGAATCTCATCCGGCTGTCAAGTCGAAAGCTATTATAAGCTTTCGCGTCCTGTATATATACGTACACGACATCTAGGCGAATTCGTGCAAGCTCTCGGACACTGCTCGCCCAAAATTGCACTCTTGGGTGAAAGTTTAATATGTCCTCGGCGCAGCGCGTCGCGCGTACGCAGCAACGACGTTTTCGCCTATCTATATGTACGTTTACGCGCGCTATATACTTTTCGATAGCGCGCGGGTACAATTGGAGGAGGGCCGTTATTCGTGACAATAAAAGTCCTTTCTTGTCCGAGGCCTGATTATTTTAACATCAAGAAAGTCAAAAATCAATATTATAAGATGACGATATAAATTTATAAATGACAGAATATACGCTGAAAACTTTTGTAGTAAAAAAAGCAACTTCCCGAACGACTTATACATTCTTATACGTGATCTGTTCCCACTGTGCGCTGATACATAAAATAAATCTAAATCTCACGTACATAATAGGATGTAAGAGAAAAAATTGAACA